CTCTGTAATTTTCAAGTTCCCAAATCTCAAAAAACCAGGAGGTGGATTTTGAAGCCTTTTTGTTGGTGTTGTGCCCACATGCACCAGGCGACAAACGCCGGACCTAAACCGATGTGAAGGCACTCGAGCCACATAGTGTGAACGTTCGTATATTTTCTGCAGAAATATTAGCGTGGCCGCTTATGAGATACTGCCCAAACCTCGCAGGGGATGTTTCAGAATAGATGGCACCTTCCAAATCCTAAAACACCTCTGGCTTCAAGCCTGGAGGGACGGTACCAACTTTCCTTTTGCAATGGATCTGTTGGAACAGAAGTGTCTCAAACACCCGAGCGTCCCCACCCTTTCCTCCTCATCTGGAGAGAGAAGATAGCCAAGCGGGACCCAAGCATAGTGTGTCTTTCTTCTGATTTGGAGACTTTGTGTGACTCTGAGCAATGTGGGATGCTCCCCCCACCCCCCCACAGCCCCGGGCCTGGATTGTAGGCGAGAACTAGTTCCTGAGGGCTTCCTCTGCAAAAGGCTTTAGGGATGACTGGAATGGCAGACACAAAATGACTTGAGCTTTTAAAACATGAAGTGCTACAGAACCTTTTTAGAATTTTTTTTTTGTTGTTGTCGTTTTTTAGGAGTACATTTGTTTACTTGTGTGTTCCCTCTGTGCCCATTTTCATGCTGGGTTCAATGAGGTTGCCACTGTATAACCTACAAACTCTGGACTTAAAGGGGCTTTCATTCTGACAGGAAGGCCAAGTTTCATGTGTAAGACACAATTTGGGAGAAAACAGAATACTATGCATTCTATGCCAGGATGGTGCACACCTGCCGGAGGGCTGAGGAGGCGAAGCTCTCTGCCTAGAGCAGTTTTGAAGAGTGGCGTGAGAGGTGAGACTTGGTCTGGGTATCAAAAGATGAAGAACACATTTTAGGAGAGTGTGCCAGAATCAATGAGGTCTGACTTCACGGGAATGAAAGAGGCTGGAGTCAACGTATGAGGAGGAGACGGACCGCGCTGGCGAGGGTAAGGAGTGTGCTGGAAACGCGTCTCTTTCCCCTGGGGCTACCGTAAGCGCTCCACCTCTCTGTGTCCTCACGTGCCTTTTCTTCCTAGTGCTTCTTTCTTTTCTTATGAGGCTACTAATCCTGAGGATTAGGGTCCTACGCTTTTGCCTCATTTAAACTTCTCAGATTCCGTAAAGGCTCTCTCTCTAAATACAGCCAGGGACCTGCCTCTTGCTTCAACAGTGTTTGGACAGAACAGACACACTCTCCTGCATCTTCTTGTCACCACCTTCAGAACCACCTCAGCCATCCTCAGCCTCCAAGATCAGCCTACACCGCATTTCTACCGTAACTCCTTATTGCCGAACAACCATGAGCTCCCAAAGCCTTCAGAATTATCCCACCCAGGGGGAGGCTGCCGCCAACCGCCCGGCCTGCACCTGCAGGCGCCCACCTACCTCTCTCTGGGCTGCTCTTTCTCCAGGGCGCAGCCACTGCTTCCCGAGTTGGCGGAGAAGAAGTGGAGGGCACTGAGCGGCTCTTAAAGTTGCAAACCCAGTGCAGCGGCCGACCGCATTCTCTCCGACTGGCTGGGCTGCGCCTCCCCAGGACGAGGGGGTAACACTCAGGGCACCAGGGAGGCCTCCCTGGCCTTGGAGAGGAACCTGACCAGGCCCTTTGGGAGCTGCAGGCCCTGATTCTACCAGCACAATCCCTCAGCTCGTGATTTACTTCCGGGAGAACCACTTCCAGGGCGAGGAGGTGAAACACATCAAGAAGACTGGCAACACCTGGCTCACCCCAAAGCTGGCCGGCCCCCCAGACCCCTGAGCCGGCTGGTGGACCAGTGTCTCTTTGAACGGCTCACCCTCCACACGCCCAGGAGCCTAGAGCCCTGAGGCACTGAGGGGCCCTTTGCATCCCCTGGTGTCTGGCTTTTCCCTGAGCCTCTCCCTCAAACTGCTAGCCCTTCTTTTAACCACCCTGAGGCCCTCTCCCATGCATTGGACCAAGTGAAACAATAAAGCTTTTGTAGCAAAAATAAATACATACATACATATATAGTCACATTGGAAGTTAAGGTTTCAATATACAAGTCTGGAAGAGGGAGACACAATTCAGTCTATAAAGTGTTCATGTGCCCTGAGCAGGCATGGTGTGTCTGTACAGTGTGAGGGTAAGACTTCTATGAGAGGGGCAGGGCAGGGCTGGAGCTTCGAGTGGACACAGACATGGAGGACATTAGAGAAATTAGAAATTATAGGACCAGGACAGCCCGGCTTAGCCCTCATAATTTCAAGTGCAAATACCAGATTGCATTTCTTGGAGAACTCCGAGGAGAGAATGTCCCCGTCATTTCCTGCCTTCCTCCGTCCTTCCCCAGCGCCCCTGGTCTGCTGCATGCTTCCTGGGCTAGCTGCAGGCACGTGTGAGGTCAGTACAAAGCTGCTTTGTGCAGAAGGCCTGCTCACATCTGGATGGCTAATACCGATCATGACCCTGCTGGTTACTCAGCCTGTCAGGTTTAGGTGAGGACCAGCTCCGCAGCTGGGGCTGCTGCTTACAGCGCCACCCTCAGAGAGGTGAGAACAAAAGCCAAGAAAGGTGTGCTCAGATGTCGGGGACTGAGTGAAGCTGGTTAATTACCAGTCACTTGCTGTCACCCTGAGCTGGAGTTTCTGGGTAAGGCACGCTCATAGATCAGACAGAACATGACAACCTGCAACTTATTTTCACACAAAGAGCGTGGTGGGGACCACGACGCAGAGGCAAGTGTGGAGATGGTCTCTCGGGTGCCAGGGCCATCACCACAGGACTCAGATGCAGCCGGTGCAGAGCAGCCGAACTCTTCATGGAGGGAGCCCTTGGTGCCGACTCTGTCTGCTGCTCAGTAATGAGGTGTAATCTGGGGACCCTGGGTTAAGTTTTAAAGGATCCATAACCCCCTGGGAATCATATGTCAACATGTATGATTGAGCATTTCTTTTTTTCTGAGAAGCAGACTCATTAATCTGATTCTTGAACGGCTCAAAATGGTGCTGTGATCCCCCAAAGAAGGACAATTATAAACCACTGCCTTAGACCCCTAGAGAAACAGGTTTACATCAGGCAGAGAGAGCTCTAAGAGAGAGTCGGGGTCCCTAATGATCCTGAAATTGTACTCGAGGTGTGTGTGTGTGTGTGTGTGTGTAAATGTGTGTGTATTTTTCTAAAGAAAGAATTCAATAGTTTTTGCCAGATTCTCAAAAGGGCGCATAATCTTCAAAGGGTTAAGAACCTGAGCTAGATCCAAGCCCAGCCCCCTTCTCCTCCCCCCCAAAAAGCTAGAAGGATTGCCTCTGCTTACTTAGCTACTTCTTTCCAGAGGACAATCACAGAGACCTCAAAACAGGGCCCAAAGTAGGCCCTGGAGGCTCTGCGGTCAGGGGCTGGCGAGCCCTCCATAAAAACACACCGGAGTCATTTTAATAGCGAAGTGTCCTGATGCCCGGGTGATGATGACAAAGCCGCGCATAGATGGGAAACAGTCCTTGCTCCCTCCCTCCTTCTGATGGCTTATTACCAGGTCTTTCTCTTCCAAGGCCCTGTCCTTGGCCCCAACTTCCAGAAACCCAAAGAAGACCTTACTTACAGAAGCTCAAAATTCATTCCGTAAACCCTTCCTGGGCACCTCTTATGTGCCAGGCTCTATTCCAGGCGCGAAGAAGTAAAGGAATGAAGCGTTATGGACCCAGGCTGGTTTCCTGCCAGGCACAGGGGCATTTTGTGCACTGCTGACCCAGAGCGCTCTTCCCAAGCTCAGTCCCCAGGACCCCGGGCCTGGGAGGCTGAGACCATCCGGCCGGCCGGTGGCAGCGGCTGGGGTGAGGCGGGGACAGCGGTACCTGTGCGCAAAGCGGCGAGAGAGGCTGGCAGAACGCGCGGGACCGGAGCGGGTGGGCCGGGAGCTGGCGGGTGGGGTGGGGGCGCAGCGGGCAGGCGGGCGGGGACTAGGGGAGGAGGCGCTGCCGTGGACACCACTGACACCGCCGCCCCCGCCGCCACCGCGCCAGATCTCCGAGCCGTGCTCGCCGGCCCCCCGCCCTCCGGAGCCGTCGCGAAGCTCCGCTCTCCATACTGAGCAGTCCCAGAGGCGCTCGGACACGTTCCCCGCAGATAACGATCGGCTGGGCGCCCGCTCGCTTGCTCCGCAGCCCGCATTCTCGCCATCTGCGTGGCTCGAGCGGCCCCTCCGGCCCGGCCCGGAGCCGCCAGGTCGCTCCCGGGGGCGGGGAGTGGGAAGGCGCTAAGGCAGCGCCGCTGCCCCCGCCGCCACCCTCGGCCCTGCGCGCGGGGGTGGCCGCGGGGCCGGGGCGGAGGAGGAGGGTGGGGGTCGCCGCCCTTCCTTCCCCTCCCCCTTGCCTTCCTTCCCAGCGCTCCCTCCCGAGGGACCCCAGCTTCCCGCGGGCCCGGGGTCCCCGGGGTCCTGCCGGGCGCCCTCGCCTCCCTGGCCCGGCCCCGCTGCCTCCTGAAGGTTACGCGCCGCCGCGGCGGGGAGCAGGGGACCCCCGCCCTCGCCGCCGCCTGCGCCGCCGCCCACCCCAGCGCCCGCCGCGGGGCCCGGCCGGGCCGGCCGCGCTGCCGGCTGCTGCCACCGCAATCCCGGCTCCTAAATCAGCGCGGGGCGGCGCGCCTCCCCCACCGGCGGCCCGGCGGCCCGGCTCCCCCGCTCCCCGCGCCGCGATTGGCCGCGCGGGCGCCCCCCGCCCCTGGCCGCAAGCCCCAGCCGCGGCGCCATTGGCTGCGGGGCTCCGCCAGCCTTTACATAAGCCCGGGCGCGCTCGAGCGGAGTTGTATAAAGCGGCGGCCGGCGTCGGGGCGGGAGGCGCGAGGCCAGCCCGGGACCGGCGGGGCGCAGGGAGGCGGCGGCGGCGGCGGCGGCGGCGGCAGAGGCGGCAGCGGGCGTCCGCGCTCCGACGCCCCGAGGCGGGGGCACCGGGTGAGCGAGCCGGAGGAGGATGAATCCCAGCGCCGGCCGCCGCGTGAGTACCCGCCCCGGACCCGGACCCGGACTCGGACCCCCACCCCGCCGGGCTCCTCGGGCGGAGAAAGTTTCTCCCGCCCTGGGCTCCCCTCCCGCTCCGCCCGCAGCGGCGGCGGCGGCGAGGATGCCGCCCGGAACCGGGGAGACAGAGCCCGCCGCGGCGGCACAGGCTCTGCTTCCAACTTGCCGAGGGGATCCGGACTCGCCTGGCGCGCGGAGAGCCTCCCCCGCGGGCTGGGGGCGAGGCGGGAACGGGGCCGGAGGCGGTGGGGAGGTGGGAGCGAAGGTGTGGGGCGACCGCGCTCGCAACGGGGGGCGCCCTGGAGGTCAGCGGTTTGGGGAGGGGGCGCTGGGGCTGGGAGGGGCGGAGCAGGTGAGGAGGGATGTGCTGGGGGTGTCGGGGGATCACCCAGCCAGGCAGGCTCAGCTCTGGGCCGGGGAAGCTGCTGTGCCTGAGCTTCCCGAATGGGAAGGAACCGGGAGCCTGGCGCTGCTTCCCCGGGGAAGCCAGTCTCCCCAGCACAGCGCCGGTTGGCAGGCAGAGAGCTCCCGGAGCCAGCCAGCCCCGCTTGCCTCGCTGGTAGCTGCTGCCTTTGCTGGACAGAGGTGTGGTCTCCTTGCGTTCCGCCTGTCTCAGGAGAGCCAGGTCCAGGGGCTCTTTCCCCCGCCCCCCCAGCACCCTCCCCCCGAAAGCCGGAGGTCCTCCTTTCACCCCGCGGGGACCCATGGAGGCTTTGAGGGGTATCAGGCCAGGCTTGGGGGCATGCCCAGCAATGAAGCGCACTTCTCTACAGGACAGTGGTTGGGAACCCTGGTTATTAGTCCCAATTCTGCAGAAACCAACTCCAGAATCTGAAGTCATCCCAGCCTGGTGGATGGGAGGCTCTCGGGGCGGCTGGGCAAGGCTCCCGGGGCTGTGGGGCGCACTCGCCCCTTCCTCTGGGCATGACTAATGGGTATTGCTGCCTCTGCTGTTGCTGCTGCTGCTGCTGCTGGTGGTGGTGGTAGGGTGTGCACCCCGGGTGGCTTCCATGCGTCCCAGGAGGTGCTTGAGCCCTCCAGACAGGATACATTCTGGAGTCACACTTGAAGTGTTTTCTGGGATGGGGTGTAGGAGTTCCCAAGTGGAGCCATGTGGAAAGGACAGCTCGGGGATGCTGTCTTGAATCAGGAGAGAACTCGAGTAGGGAGAGAAGCGCTGTTTGCTTTTTTTTTTACCCTGACGACTCGGGCCGGAGACACCCAAGACTGACTTGGAGCAAATTCAGAGTCGCATTGTGCCTCACCTTCAGGGGAGATGGAAGATGGGAGAGTGGGAACATGGCGGTGGATCCAATATGGCCTTGAAGGAGGCATTTTTGCTCCCTCTGACTTGATTAAAACCATCCTTCTGGCAGCAGGTCCTAAAGTTAATTTAAGAGGCAACGAAACGAGTTGAGGGTCTTGACGCGGGCACAGTGGAACACGGTTTGAACATTCCAGTTTCCAGTGGGTACTAATGGTCTCTGGAGAAGGTCAAAGGGCGGGCGGCTCAGTTGGAGCTGTATCCTTCACCTGTACCCCATTCCTGAATACGGGGGGAAGGGGTGTGTTTGAACTCCTACAGTAGCTACTTCAGCCTGGGGATCTTTTATGGGGGCCACCAATCCATATCCCCAAACCCAGCTGCCCTCAGCCTACAGTCAACATTTTCCTGCTGCTACTTTTCCCCCCCACTGGGGATTTGTACAGCAAAATACCTGCTTGTTACTCTCTCTTCCCTTTCCTCCATCTGGGCTGCACCTGGTGTTTTGAACCCTGATGCTTATTATCTGGTACCTTGGAATCTGTTTAAGAGGTCCTGTCGCTGCACAGGCGTATATCCCTGAGCTTGTGTGGGTCAAGGGCCCCTGTAATTCTAAGGAGTGACATGGACTTCCATGGAGAGAGGACCACGAACCAGGAAGGTCGTCTCCTTAAAGAGCTGTGACAGTCTCCTCCTGCTCTCGGTCTTCCTTGCCTCCTGCTGATGTGAATGAAGCCGCCCTGCGGGCTCATTGGCTTCCAGTAGGGGGCGCCAAAGGCACCCACCTCAGGGCAAGGGTCTGGCTTCTTGCCCTTCACTGGCCATAGTAACTTAATGTTCCAAGCAAGCTCAAGCCACAGCGCCCGACGGTCACCTTTATGACTGAAACCCTTCTACCACATGCCTCCTGGACTTTGGCTGTTCCTGTGATCTCAGGTGCAACGGGGCAGATACAAATACGACATTCCAAGGAAACAGCTGGTCCTCAGCCCCACCTGCCCTCTGAGGTCTTTCCCGTGTACTTGGTGTTGGTGTGTTCTTTGAACTCATTAAGAGCTCACAAAGCCAAGGAACATTAGAGCTAGGAGAGAGAAATCTTGAAGAGCATCTAGTCCAACCTCATTTCACCTCCAACACTCACCCGCACACTTAATTTACAGATGACAAAACCGAAACCCAATAAAGGCATGTAGCAGGTAGCCATTTGGTGATAGAGATAGGGCTGGATCCTAGGGGTTCCCAGTCTTCTACTCAGAGCTCTTTCCACTCCGTGACCTGCTTCCTCTTTACTACGGAGATGGACATGTGTTCCCTGCACAATAGGTACTCATAATTCTGATTGATCAGAAATAGGTCAATTAATGAAGGTAGTAATTGAGGGGAAATTCCTTTGAGCCTGTTATTTAGAATGAGGAAGTGAGCAGCAGATAAAGTTCTTATAATGTACATAAACAGGTAATAGAAATTCCTAATTATTATTTCCCCTTACCTCATTATTCCAGGTGGGTTTTTTATGCAAAAGCAGTGCACTCCAGTTTCTGTGTGTACATGTAGGAGTCAGAAATGCCCACTGCCTCACAGGGTCTTGAAACCCAGGCCTGCGGCTCTTCCTTTCTTTGATTAAGGTGTGCTGGAGTGGGGTCTCTCTGTCTTGCTGTGACACCACAGCCTGTGGGACCCCCCCAGCACTCAGATCCTGGGTGAAGTGGAGAGTTTCCAACCAGGGTTTGCCCATTTCCCCCATCTCGCCGCTCCCAGCTCAAGGTCAGAGTGCTAGGATGTTCTATTTTTGCAAATTCCTTGTGTTAGGACTTCTTGGGTGACTTGGAAGATTCTACCATTTTCCATTGCCCTTTTTCTGTCTGTGAATCTGGCTGTCGGCATCTGGGCTGGGCCTGGGAAGGAGGTTTGCTGAGTGGCCTGTGGACTGCCCCCCCCCGTTTCCCCTTCCACCCTGCGCCTTTGCACCCTGTGTGAAGTTCCCCTGGGACTTGGCAGTGACCCCAAGGAGGACCCAGTGCTGCCGCACAGAATTCCAAGAGGTGGGTCCTCGTCTGCCCCTCAGGGCTCACCCAGGGAGTGACAGTTGCCAGGGAAGATGCTCGGGGATCCTCTTCTCCTTCAGGCTCACAGGAAAGTTGGGTCTTTACCTTCCGGGGGAGGAGGGAGGCAGCGGGATGACGTGAACCACCAGAGAGCAGCAGCTCCTCCTCTAACGTGGGGTCTGAGAGGCTGTGCTTGGGATCCGGGCCGGCTACCAGCTTTAGCTCAAGAATTGTGCCAGCATTCCCAAAGCGTGGTCTGGTTCTGGACAAGGTCTGAGGAATAGAATTGCATAAAAGGCAACTAGAGCACGGGACCTCTGGTGGGGTTTGTTTGTTTGTTTGTTTGTTTGTTTGTTTGTTTGTTTGAATGGGGGAGAGGATTTAGAGGTTGAGAAGTGGCCTTCGACATTGAGAAAACAAGAAGTCACCTCTTTCTGGAGCCCCACTAGAGAAGTACCCGTACCCCACTCTCCGTGAGAAGCCAGCCCCGTGTCGTAGTGGATAGGATACAGGCTTGGAATCTGGCTCCCCTGCTTTTACCAGCTTAGAGACCTGGACACCACCACTCAACCCCTGCATGTCTGCTTCCTCCTCTGCAAAACGCTGAAGCTGGCAACCCTGTGATGAGGGTGGGATGGCGACGATCAGGGAAGACCGTGTCTCACGTGCCTCTGCCCTTGGTGAACTACACAGAGGAACCGGTGGGGAGAGGATACTCTTGCAGGACCACTGGGAACCATATTGGGCCTTTCCCCAGCAATGGAGACTGAGTGTCCAGGTCTGCACATCAGCCTCTGCTCACGGCAACGTTTGGGCTGACAGGCAAGGCCTTCTTGGCAGGGCCCCTTCCTTGCTGTCTTCCCTCCCCCTCCGCGGGGCTTTCGTTTTTGGGTTTTGCCGTGCTTGGGGAAAATAAATTTTACAAGTCCCAGGATAATTCTGAATGTGATGGAAGGCCCTGAGCTATTGATTCCCAGGGAAGGATCTTTGTGCTTGGAGAAGCCTTCCTCGGAGCCCAGTGATTTAAGAGTGCTGACAAATCCGTGTTCACCGAGCCTCCTGCAGGCTGCAGATACAGGCTTCCAGGCCAGCTGGGGCTCTGGAGGGATTTCTGGGGAGCCTGGCTGCTTGTTTCGGGGACATAAACCTATGAACTCTCCTTAGGAGAAAATAAGAAGTCAATTGGTTCATTATCACACCGAACGCACCCCGGGCCACTTAGGGGCATTTAAGAAATAGGAAGCAGCCAAGGGCTGGGAGGTTGTGTTTTAGAAAGTGTGTGTAAAGGTGTAAAGAGAAAGGAGAGGAAGATAATTTCCCACTAAGTCACTCAAGATCTTGACCTTATTGAAGTCCTTGGACAGTGACTTTTAGGGGTTGCTTTGCATCCCAGACATTTGGCAATTTCCGGGGACATTTTTGCTTATCACTACCGGGGTAGGGAGGGCTACTGGCAGATAGTGGGTAGGGGTCAGGGATGAGGCGAAACACCCTACAGTGCACAGGACTGCCATCCGACAAAGAAATGCCTGGCCTAAAATGCCACCAGTGCCAAGGTTGGGAAACCTGGGACCGGAAGAGTGACGCAGCACAGAACCAGAGCACGTGAGAAGTGGTAGGGGTCCGAGAAGTATTCTCATCCAGCTGCCCCACTTCTCAGCTGAGGAC